TCCACAAGAGAGCAAAAATGCGCACTTCAATCTATACTTTTAATATTTTAAGAAGAAAAAATTCTTATATTAAATAAGCGGCAGTTTCAAATCAACTTAATTAAATTAAGGATAGTTGCAATAAACTAATTTGCTTATTTAATTTGCAAAAAAATTAACAAACAATAATACAGTAACACAATTCGCGAATTACTATACGGATTTACTAAGACTTATTATAATTTCTAAAAATTTCGCATTTTTAAAATAATAAAAAAATGAATTCAATAAATCAGCAAATTATTTTGAAAGCAATAAAAACAATTACAGTAAGTAATTAATATTAAAACATAACTACAGAATTAAAAATAATAATAATGCTAATCATTACAGTGATTGTTATGATAATTATATTGGTCTTGACAATAAGACAGACAACATTTTACAACCATAAAAATGATAGTAAATACAGGAGAAGCAAGTTTTTAAATGATAGTTTGGTAAATGTCGCCTACAGCAATATCAGACTGCAAATATAAATTCATCCATCTATTCAATCATTTTCGCCAACTACGTGAACAACTGTTGAAATTCATATAAATAAATTTATATGTATAAATTATATATAAATTATACATAGATATATACGTATTCAACATTAATCATCAGCTAGTCTCCAGAATTTATACACTGTATTTTAAATTTTGAAAAAATTCACAAATTAAAGAATGATCTTAACTAAAAATAAATTACTAAGTGGGTGATAAGAATAACAGCTCATCGTCAAGATTACTTCCATAAAAACAGCTAAATTAAAGTGAAATTTTTAAAACAATGCCAAAAATTAACATTTGGTCAAAATTTTCTCAGAAATCATTTACTAAAAAACTTATAAGCTTAATATTAACAAATAACTGACAACAATTTATTTACGAAGATGATTCTTTGATATTATTATTAGTATTTATTACTATTACTATTATTATTGTTATCATAAGGAATTCAATATTTGGTTGTATTTCAAATTTATTTTAAATGCAATATTTATGATATAAGTCTTTTTGGTATCAAAAAGACTTATCATAAGTATTCTAGCAAATTTTTACGAAAAAATCTTTTTCTAATATATCTCTCTTTTATTTGTTCTATTTTACCCGCCTAAATTGGGAGGGTAAAAAAAAATTAGCCAAGTTCAAATTTCATTTCGGTAATTTATACAGTAAAGGTAAATCAATTAAAACAGATCAATATCCTAATAATAATTAAAATTTGATAACTCTTAAAATAATACTTTGAATTCAAAAGTTCCATCCTTATTTTTAATTTTAATTATATAATGTTGCTAATTTTTGCCCTACTTTGTATTAAATTCGCATAAGATAAGCATAAATTCGTTTTATGCATTGACTATTTTAGAATGAAAAGAGAAAATGCCCAATTTGCATAAATGAGGAAGAAACAATTCAATAGGCCGATAAGAATTTAATATATAAGAGAGACAGATGGATGAACGCGTGGATAAATACTAAAGTATACCATTGAGACCGTACAAATTTAAGGTTATACCGAGGCCTGTTTTTGCATATAGCACAAAATTAATTAATTATGCTAGTATTTAATTAAATTTCACTCTTTATTAAATCATAAATGAAGAACAATGAAGAGGGAAATCAGATTGATGCACTGATATTGCTGTTGGGATTTTAAGTTTAATTTGATAATTATGAGTAAGTCTATTTCTTACTCATATATAATGATTATCAGTATAGTAAATATGATGATGACGATAAAAAAACATGACAGCACTTATGAATACTATCATTTTCTATGATATCACTAATTACTGATGTTTATTTTAATATAGATAAAAGTAATAATTGATAATAGTGATTCCTGAACGTAAGTAAATTAGCAAGTTTAATTATGTTTAAATTCAGTCAAGTAAAGAAATGAAAATTATTGAATAAGAAATTATGTTACTCCTTCGTGACAAGAACATCTGATCTAATCAATGATATAAAAATCAAATATCAACGAGTCAATACAAAGATTTCTAATTGATCACAATAAATAGCATATGATCACTAGTCACTGATTGTTGTCAATAAGTCACTTGATCAAAGTGACTAAAACTGTAAGCAACGAGAAGGAGAAATGAAAAAAAAATGCAACCTTTCAATCTAGACGATTTGCCGCAAAATTTGCATACATAAGGCTTAAGAGCTGTATGCACAGATCGATGTTCCGCTAAATTTGATCGGAACCGGAATGCTTTCCCGCAAATTTCGCATATAAACGCTTTATCAGTATGAAACATGTGTTGATGTTGTTGAAGCAATTTTTGACTAGCAAATGTCTTCGAGCATAAATTACACGTAATTTCACGTGGTTTTGGTGATGCACCGTTACTAGCAATAGAGCTTGGTTGTGTTGGTAATACAATAGCGGATGGCGGAATTACTGAAGGAGTTGTTAATACTGCCGCAGTGGATGATGATGAAGGCGAAGATGATGATGACGATAACTGCTGCTGACGATGATGATGATGTTGTTGTCGTTGATGATGTTGATGTTGTTGTTGTTGTTGTTGTTGTTGTTGCAACTGCTGTTGGGCGGCACTTGCTGTTGTATTAGTAACAACAATTTTATTTTCTCCGCCTTCAAGAATAGATGTTGTTGTCGTTGAAATAGTATTATTATTACTATTACGACTTGTGCTTTTGCTACTGTTACCGCTACGTATTGCATTTGCAGCTGCCGCAGCTGCGGAAGCAACGGCTGCCGCAGCGGAAACAGCTACTGCCGCAGCCGATATAGAACTTACTGAACTATTTCCGCTCATTTCGCATAAACACAGAAAATATTTTCACGCAGAAGTTATTATTTTTATAATTATCAAAAATAGCAAATTGATTTTGATGCAAATTCTGCTTCAAAAAAAAAAGCCAGAAAATACAGTAAAAAATATTTTTATAATTATCAAAAATATCAAATTGATTTTTGTATGAAAATTCCGTTTCGGAAATTATAAAGTACTTGTTAATGAAGATTCTTGCGGAATGCTGATGCAATAAACAATTGCCGCTTAGCGTTTACAGGAGCAAAATCACAGTTAATACTAATGATAGCAATGATAGTGATAACGGATAACCATTGACAACTAATCACCATCACTGAAAACAGGTCAAAGTTTTTAGATTCACAACAAATTATGCAAATTTTGAAGACCGAAATTGAAATTATATACAAGTATTTTTTCAAAAAAAAAGAGAAAATACAAAATCTAATTGATTGGCGACAAATTTTCAGACGATTAAATAAAATCATTTCTTTATTTTTAGATACATTGATAAGATAAGAAGGCAAACAAGTGATACATGCTAAGCAATAGCAAGCGGTTTTGAAGTAATAGACAGGTTTTTGTAAGGAGTTGACCAACGTGAAACTTCGGCTAATTAATTCAGTTGCGCAAAGAATTGCTCTGAAAACTTACAAAAAATTTGACAATTAAAAGACTAGAACTGATCAAATTAAACGGTATTAATCCATAACTTACTATTTTTGACAATAGTAACAGAGATAAAACTCAAATCGACAATATTAATAAGTAATTTTAATACTGATAAAATATAATCATTATGATAATGGCTAAAAAAAGCATTCATCAAAGTTAATTTTTTTATTTCTTCATTACACTGGCAATCAAATAATGCAAGTGATGATTTAATTAGCAAGGTTAGCACAACTTCAAAAAATTAACTTTGATTAAGTCTACCGAATCGAAAATTCATACTTTACAGGACAGATATTATGCGCATATTTAGTGTAATGAAGAAATAAAAAAATTCAGTAATTACATGAATTATTTTATTTCCAAATTTGCACAAATTTAAGTGACAAAACTGCAGAAAGAATGCAAAATTTAAGGAAGTCCAAAATTAAACTGAATGGAAAAGTGTGGAAAAATAGTAATGTGAATAAAATTATCAGGAAATCAATCTCAGATGCATTATTAAAATAAGATATTACAAGGCGTAAAGGTCGAATATAGATAGTGGATAAGACAAAGCATGCATTCCGCAAAATGCAAATTTAAAACTTTTTAAATATTGCTAAAATTTGTTACTGCAAAATGTATGCAAGAGAATAAAAAATTTTGAAGGCAATTAAGATGCAAATCTATACTTTTGTAAATGAATCTGACCTCTTGGATTAAAAGTTCATAGGTCATAGGATGAAAAGATGATAAAATTTGAAAATTTTGAAGCAATTTGTTACACCTACAGGCAGATGTATGTGCATGCATGTATATAAGGAGAAAAGCATTATTACCCCCGGAGATAAGGAAACTGGGTGCTGCGAGTAAAAGGATGGACGACAGGTTTTCCCTCGATGGATCGATGGATACGAGGCAGGGTTTCTGAGAGAAACCATGCCCTCCCCCGCACCTTTCCCCTTCATTTTCATCCCGTTTATTGGTATTGCTCATCGCGGTACCAACGAATTGTAGGCAGATAATATTTTATCTCGTGTAATCAACAGTTACTGCGTGTAAACGCATGTTTGCGTGTGTATACATACGCATGTGCGCGAAATTTCAAAACATCGTGAGAATATTTCAATAGAAAATTACTCACAAAGACGAAAAGTTGTCTTTCTGACAATCTTAGACATGAATAAAAGAAAGAAAATCTTTTAGCATTTTGTAGATTTAGAACTTTTAATACCTTTCAAGTTTGGTACACTTACTTTTAATTTATCTGTACTCAGTTTGTAAACATACTTTTAATGAACACATAGTAATGTGTTGTAATGTGTAAAACCATTTTCTTACGTTTTTACAATACATAATTAGTAGAGCAAAACTTTTTCTACTACAAGTAAACATTTTAAAAGATATTTGAAAACTTTTTTACTTATTTTCCCGCTAATTCTACAAAAAATATATGTATTGACCTGGTCATCATTTTACGACCTATGAACTCTTAATGCAAATAATTATTTTTTGCACACAGATTTTGAACCATATATTTGAAGCGACAAAAAAATTTATTTACAAGTCTTTTAAATTTTAGGATGAAGAAGTTAGTACGTGTTAATAAAGTAACTGTTGCCAAAGCACAAGTAAAACGCATTAAAAGTATTTGTTTTGTTTATTTCGTGTTCTGACCTGTTAGACGTAGCAGTACACTACTGACACTGAACGAGAATTTTTTATAACTACTACGCAATACAAAAAATTTGGAAAGATATCACAGAAATTTAAATTTTATTACCATTAAATTACTTTTAAAATAGCAAATTTTAACGCCAGTGCGTGACATCGCTATGAAATTATCTCAAATTTGCCGCCAATATTTCAATTAAATGACCGTTACTTTCCTAGGTGTCATTAAATTATTTAAAGTTTTGATTTTCAAATTTTTGAATGCATACTTGCGCATTAATAATTCAATCAACTGCATAATAAATCACATAGAAAGTACAAAATAATTTGTATTAATGGTAATCATTCTTGTAACAGAAACCATTTCATTTACAAAAGCTACAGTACTTGATCACGTTTGAAAAAACTTTAATTTTGGAACAAGATCTACGTTTGCTACACTACAGCAAATGTTAATGCAACCTTTGTTTAAAAATTTTTTTGTCACAAAAATATAAGGCGTGTTTTTTTCGTTCAATTTTTGTCACAGTACTTAAACATTTTAATTTCAATTAAAACACAAGTAAATAAAAATAACTATTTCTATATTTACGATAATAAACTGTAGAAATAAATACTGTACTACCCATCTAACTAAAAAATATTATTATTATAGCAAAAATTTCCCTCAAACAGTTCCAATACTGATCATCATTTTTCTTACTGTATCAATACAGTAATCCGGTTTTTTTTGTCAAATTACGAGATAAAAAGGTTGCATTATAAAGTAAAGCAGGAAATACATTTGAAAAAGCCAACCGTTTGGCTTTTTCAATTGTAAGCTTCGTAGCACCATCCTTGTCCTCGTATTCAAGAACGAAATGCTGAGAGAATGAATGTATTGCATGTATGTGTGTATGCTAAAAATGCATAGAGCTATTCAGTCAGTTAGTTTGTTAGTCAAGATAAGACAAGACTAGGCTAAGAAAAACCAAGCTAGACTAAGCGAGTATTAGTTGGACAAGAAACCAAATATATGCAATAGTGGAGAGGAAGATGTACGATAGAGTTAGGCCACACATTTTTCAATATACAAGAGGACAAAACTGCAAACTTGACAGAAATAGGCAAGAAAAACGGAGCCAAGCTTGGCTCATGGCTAATACGATGCATAATTTTACAAAATCAATACAGGCAAGAGAGAATTCAGGGGTAACAAGTGAGTAAGTATGTAAGTAAGCAAGTAAGTCTTCTTTGGTACTTCCTGGCCAGTATATGGTTGTGCCTGTGGTTGTGGTCGCTCAGCCTAGCAATTTTACTCTAACTCTTAGCTAAGTATAATTTTTCGTGGCCATACTGCCACATTCAATACAAACGAAATCAATCCTATTGAATTTGCCAACCGAAAAAGCAGCAAGAGTAATAACGCGCTTCACGCTTGAAAGAGAAAGAGAAAGTTACTAGGCCATTTACTTACTTACTTACTTACTTACTATGCCTAGCCTATGCTTGCTTTCATTTAGATATTACTCACTTTTACTATCTAGCCTAGTCTTTGCTCCTTCTCGCTTGTCTTTTACAACGAAACTATATTTATATTATAATGTTAGCACTTGAATTGAGCCTCACAACGCGAACCAAACTAACATCATCAAAACTGCTATCTGCCAGCTGCTCTTCGCTCAATCTTACAACAGCAAAAAGCCCTAAGGCATCTATTTATCTATCTAACTAGCTAGTTTCGCACACTGATCTCAATCTAACTTTTCTGCTATCATTAGCTTCAATTGAGTCATCTTTGTTAGCTTAAATTTTCTAGGTAATTATTACCTTTCATGCTATCAAGTGCATTAATTATTCAGACTGTAATTCACATTATATTATCTCATAGGTATGAACCATAATCGATCAGGTGTTTAGCTGAGCTAATTGAAACCTTAAAATTAGATAAAACCTGATAGACAATCCAAACTATCCGTAGCCCAGAACGAGCTCTTGTACAGCGAGAAATGCATTGATTAGTAGATGGATTGACTGATAGAAAAGGATGAAAAAGTGAATAAATACATTGATCAGAATCAACTAATCATCTTTAATTCATGTTTCTCAGAAAAGGCCAATTACTGAGAATCACAATGAGTGATCTGCATGTAACTTGAAGTATGTGATGTTAAGCGACTTATCTGATTTATCTGCTTCTGGATGAAGTAAAAAAAATGGCTTTAAACATTATCAAAAGTGGCATTAAACTGATCTTCTAAATTTGTTTCACTTTCAAAATTATGCATCAGCTGAAATTAAAACACACAAGATATTTACTGTCATGCCAACAATAATTATGATCAACTTAATATCAACTAAATGTGTATTTTGTTTTCCTTATCAGTCTACTAAATGAATGGCTGATTCCTGATTCAGCAGAATTCAATCCTTCTCATTCATGGTCACTACAATGATAGATAATTGCGGAAAGAAATAATATACAATTATGAAAATTATAAATTACAAAATTTGACCTTACATAACCTCTAAACATACAAGAAATAAACGGTAAAAGAGTCTAGCTTTTACAAAATGTTTGCACAACTATATACAGAAATCAAACTACATGCAACAACTAACTGGTCGTCCTTTCGTAGAAACTAGTCTAAACTAAATTTTTAGTTCAAAAATTATTAGTCAAACTCTTTAAAAAC